CGGCCAGTGGTGTCCCAGGGCTTCACACACAACACACACAAACTCCATCTACACCTAAATCAGATTAATTCATAAAGCAGCAGCGACTGGAACCTGCTCAGCCTCAATGTACACCGTAAATCCACACGCAAGAAATAGGCACGTACCTGGCTGAAATACACCCATTTCCTACAACTTCAGAAAACAGCCCCGGGATCTCCAGCTGCAAACATCAAACATTCCACAGCAAGTAACACTGTAAATTAATGACAAACAACCAAACAACCCATCCCCAAAAATGCTGCTAGTGCACCAAAAACTCGTTTTTCGGTTAGAACGATACAACCAACTCCGTTCTGTTTTGCAGAGTGCGGACGACGGCCGCTCATAGACAGGATCTCGGGATCCCGCATCGTGGGTGGACGCGACGCTCCGAGCGGAGCGTGGCCGTGGTCCGTTAGCCTCCAGGTTCGCAAAGCTGCTGTACAATTTGCGCACGTTTGCGGTGGAGTTTTAATTAATGAGAACTCGGTACTTAGCGCTGGCCACTGCGTTACAGCAAAGAAGTATGTATTCATGCTAAGTAAGGCAGTGTATGTTCTTTCTCTCCATGCTATCAGCAGAGCGCCCGTCTCTCTCAACACGAGGCAAATCGACGGGACTCGCACGGCCGAGCGCTCAGTGCAGACCCGAGCTGTGCCCCTCCTGTCCACCGACACGCCGCGGTCCAAAGACTGTCCCCTTTGCCACCTTTGCTGTAAGGGCTGCGTGGTGACAGCCGCCAGCCCAGCACGTGAAGTTACATCTTTATAAGTCAACATGAAGAAGTCGTGGATGTGCACTTCTGGCTTGGCCCAGAACAACCTTTATTAAGGTTATTTTTAATAAAGGGTTGGTTGTTTTTGATCTAGGTGACATTTTTGTTAGGTTGGGGGCTTTTTTTTTTTTCCCCATGGAGCTCCAATTTTTCTGATTAATAGATTTTTCGAAATTAGTAAAGCTCACTATAAAAAGAAAATGTTGCAATACTTAGATTAGAAACATTACAATTCATAAGTTTAAACAGTATTTCTATTTTTTCCTGTTTAACTGACCTAAGGATTTGTCACTTAACTATTTTTATGGTTAAAACACTCCTCGGAACAGGCATTTTAATTGTTCTTGCAGCAATTCTGCTGCATTTCAGCTATCTGATCACTGTTGTCTTTTCTGTAGTCTTGAACACAGTTGCAAAATCTGCACGCTACTTGATGCAAGTTCGCATGGACTGTGTTGACATCACCATGACCTGAGGGAAACGGAACTGTAAAAATCTCTGAACTTTGGAATTCTATCATTTATCAGGCCTTTGTTGGATCAGCTTGTTTCTTTAAATGCACTGTTACACGCATTAATTTAAAGAAGCATTATATTGCAAATAATCAATTCAGTTTTTATCTTACACTCTGGAGAATTTTGGAGGTTAATTTGAATTTCACAGCCTGATCTTTGCTCATCACAGACCAAATTCAATTCCCACTTAATATCAGTAAAGATTTTTTCCAACATACTTGAATAGAAATTAGGTCTGAACGACTCTGGCCCTATTTCTAAATTTAATATTAAGTTGATATTCATTATTTGTAACTTCTAGTTAATGGATTTCCCAAATCTAGGTACAAGCACAGTCTTTATAAGCATTGTGGGTATAAGCCTACTTCTTTCCTGCAAAATAAATCCATGTTTTTATCTTTTTCAAAAGAATATCTCTCGGGAGGCCTCTGCTGACATGGGGTGAGAAGCAAAATCTGAGTGTCAGCTTAAATCATTAATCCGAATTTGCCTTAACAGCCATAGCCAGCATTAGGCAAACTGAGTGTTCAAAACAGAATGGTAATTAGCCAAATTTGTTCCAGAAAATATTTACTACAGAATTTTCAGTGCGTATTCCTAAAGATGCATAAGCCAACAATAAAACAATCAGTTAAAACAATGCCAGCAAGAAACATATTTACTTCAACATAATTGTAAAAAATCTGTGAATTCTCTCTTAGGGACCCATACTCCTGGAGAGCTGTTTTGGGCTTGCATAACCTTTGGAACTATGGCGAACACACAGCAAAAAGAAATATTAGAAGCATCACTGTGCACCCAGAATTCAAGAGAGAAACATTTGAAAATGATATTGCATTATTTGAACTTGACTCCGCAGTACGCTACAGTGACTATATTCAGCCCATCTGCTTACCTCCTGCACACCTTTACCTGTACATTGACAATGAAACAGAATGCTTTATTAGCGGCTGGGGACGTACAGCAGAAAAAGGTGAAAATTTGCTTATGCTATTGATCAGGTTATAAGCTACGTAACTAATACCAGGCTCTAGTCCCTCAAGCTCACTGAGGGAGAACTGAATTGGTTCAGGTTATAGTCTAATCACACAAGGTCATTAAATCCTGCAACTGAGTATCTGCTTTCAGTGTTTTTTCCACTGAGAGCAGATTAGATCTACACAGATGTAACCAAAGGCATAAACTTTCTAGCCTTTCTTCCAAGTATAATATGAAAAAATGAAAATACTAGCCTGACTTTCAGATTCATGGTACAGCTACTCAGAGTTGTCTAATAGAAATAGCTTTTTTATTGAAAAGCAACAATTCTGATGCCGTGCATTGTGAACTCATGTATTTTACAAATGGCTGCACTCCCTCAAATTCTGTCTTTAATCACAATGAGCCCAAGCTTGATAGGATGTCAGTTGGTGGTGTGCGTCTTTCCTGCGTGGAAATGTCAAGGACAGCTGGGGATCGTACAAGCTTATTTAATAAGTCACCTCTGACAGTTTGAACAAGGCTAGCGAGCAGTATTGTTATCATTGATGTTTCTTCAGAATGAAGAACTGCAAAAACTACATCAAATCCAATCCGACTGAAGTTTAAATCCATTAGAAGTAGGCATAATCTATGTTACGTGCATGTCTAAACATGTACAGAAAGATGCTTAAGCTAGCTAAAGAGGAAAAAAAGAGCACAGCAAGAATTGCTACAGCCAATGGCATAAATATTTTACCTTTCTTTACGCTGTCTTCCATTAAAGGTAAAACTTCATCTGTGTTAAGAGAAGCACAAGTAGAAATCATTCCTTCCAGCATCTGTAACGGTTCTGATGCCTATGGAGGTCTGGTTAACAGCAACATGATTTGTGCTGGCTCTCGATCAGGAGGCATCGATACCTGTCAGGTAAGAATGAACATCGTGCCCAACCTGCCACTACGGAAACCCCCAAGCCCGAGTCTCAGGGGCATCATGATGACCATCATTTGTAGCATAATTAATTAAAATGGCAGAAATACTAAACAGAAAACATGTCAAACTGCAAAAGAAGCATCACAGAGAGGTGAGGCGGTGTCTAAAGAGAAAACCCACCTCAAAAACCTACACAAAGAATTCAGTGATACTCAGAAGAAGAGTAAGTTAACAAAGTGAAAGGATAGAGTGCAAACATAATTTATGCAACACTTGCCACAAAGATGTCAATAAATGATATACTACACAAACATACGTACGGATACGCACATGTATCGCTGTACGCATGTAGTGTGTGTGAAGCACACAGGCATCTTGCCTGTTTTTGTGCTTTTGAAAGGGAACAGCAGCATTGGAAAGTGATATAGTCCAGTGATACGGAAAGATTTTTATTTCAGTGCTGAACAATCAGCATGTCTTTCTCAGAAAAGTCAGTTCTCGGGTCAAAAGCACTAGCATGCAAAAGCTGGGGCAGTGGTTGCAATATGGAGGCATTTATAATTAAAACCCTTAACATATTCATAAGTACGTTGTCTGATAGATCCCTGCTTTCCTCAGCAGTTTTCCTTTAAGTAGGTGATATGGCAAAGATTCAGGGTTGTGTATTCATTACCGTATTTCTCAGTACTTACGCATTGTGTGGACAATATATTCTCATATTAAGTGATGAGAAAGCTTAGGGAGACAAGCCTCAGAATGAAAAGGTGTGGAAAGAAAAACAACAACAGAACTTTAGTTAAAGACACTGAAACTGATGTAGGCATGGAATTCTAGTCAAGGTAGTATCACCCAGCGTCACGAAATTTTATCTTGTCTGTGCACTACTATCCATGTATTAGTGTCACTATTACTTAGTGTAGTCCAGTTAACTTAGCCAATTCAAAAAAGTTTAAAAAAGTAAGTGGACGCATTACTGACTTAATTCTACATTAACTCCTGGAAGAGAATGTATGTTACTAGGTTTTTATGTTGTTTATTTATAGGGAGACAGCGGTGGACCTCTAGCGTGCTACCACCCTAGTACCAACAAATACTACCTCGTAGGGATCGCTAGCTTTGGAGTTGGCTGTGGCCGACCAGAATTTCCCGGGATCTATGTCCGTTTATCTCAATACAGAAGATGGATAAAATCTGAACTTCTGTTGGGTAACAAGGCTGCGAATCCCGTGAGCATTACACTCACCGTCTTTCTGACTGTGATGCGTATAGTGCTTGTGTAGACTTCCCGTTGTGTCAGCATTGTAGAGGTTTGCTCTGCCTGTTAAAATTGTGAAGAGAGCGAACTCTTGTTTCAGAATAAATCTAAGAGCCAAAGGAAAGACACTTATTTTTTAGAAGTCATGTTTGCAATTGTATTACGTTTTTTTGTTTTCTGCCTTTTGCTATTCATACTAACAGCAGAGGAAATGATAACAGCCTTGACCCGAGTAATGAAATGTTACCAGCTGAAAATACCTTTTTCTCTACCCTATTTCTGTGCCTTCCCTGCTATCAGAAGCTTAAGTACTACTTAGGAATATTACCACGGTTTTGTAGATGGCAGAGATACTCCCTCTGCCGGGTGAATGCTAGCACAGCACAAAATATTTTTAGTTAGCAGTGGCTCAGCTTACTGAAAACTAAAAAGCAAAAAAAATGGCAGAAAGATACAAGGTATTCTCTACTAATTATTTTTAGTGATGACTAAAATTTATGCACAAATGATTTAGTACTCTGACTGCTGAAAGGACACATCAGATAAAAGGTCTCTGGGTGCCGTTTCATAGACTAAATATTTATTCTTGGCCACTGTAAAAGACCTGATACCGCACAGTGCGTGCACATTTGGTCAGAACCACTGCAGTACTATGTTAATTAAAAATAAATAAGGAACATCAGAATTATATTTTGGCGACTTTATTTACCAAGGTCAAAATTTGCAACCATCTAAGTGTTTCGACAAATATTTACAATTCATATAAAGCATGTACTTTTGTTTGGAAATAACCAGCAGAACAGTATTCGGTACTATATCTCTTACTCTCAGGATATAGATTTTATTCTCTTACAATCTAGATTTTGAAGTAAATCCAAAATAAGTACTTCATGATAAGTGATTACTTAAAGAGCAAACTCATGTTACTGTTCAATATTTCCATGATGAAAAATAAGCTGCTCTTTCCAGAACACTATTTTAAGAGGATAAAAATTTACTAACGTTATTTCTGGCAGCACTACATTTGTTTCACTTGCTGAATACAGAAAGAATTGGCCACCATTTTTTTTTACAGTCTTAACACTTGATAGCTTTTTTTATTATTATTCCGTATTACAAAAGAAGGTAAAGGAACAACAGCACACAGTGAGGATCAAAACACCATACAGAGGAGTTACCAAATTAGTTTCAGTACTGTAGGTCAAACCCTCTTAAACAAATGCCAAACAGCGAACACACACCTGATGGGAGACAGAGCGAAAAGGTCCAATTCTGGGAGGTGCTAAGCACGTTCCAAGGTGTTCGTTTTTCCTGAAATTCCCCTAACAGAAACAGGCGGCACCGAACACCTCTTTTGCAGCAGTTCCCTAATGTAATGGCTTTCTCAACCTTGCTTATTATTTCTGATGTGCAACGAAAGCGCTCTTTTTTGACATGCTTGAGAACACAAATGTATACTCCAGTTTGGCCTAAAGGAAACATCGTGGATCACATCCGTAACCATCATATATTGAGAAACTTGAGAAGAAAAGGTATTTTTATAGCCTACTAACAGTGTGATTGTGGAATGCAGTCTTTCTCATACCGTTTGCAAAGAGCTCCGCTTGCTAAGAAGTCCTTTAATTCAAAAATGAGTAAAATAAAAAATACTGACTGACCATATGATAAGCGTTACACATCTAGGGAGTGAGTACATCTTTTAATTTCATTCAGATCTGAGCTAGCACAACACACACACGTAGCTCTAACACCTTTTTAATAGCATAGTCCATAGTGCAATTCCCGCTGACATAACTGGAAGCAGGATTCAATCCTAACTATGGAAAATAGTGTATTTATTACTCATGCAATAAGCACTGCATACACATTTTTCTATTTCACAGAATCACAGGATCACAGAATGGTCGGGGTTGGACGGGACCTCTGGGGGTCACCTCGTCCAACCCCCCTGCTCAAGCGGGGTCACCTAGAGCAGGCTGCCCAGGACCACGTCCAGACGGCTTTTGAGTATCTCCAAGAATGGAGATTCCACACCCAAAAGACTCCTGATCATGTCAAACGTTTAATTTTCACCTGAAACAAATTAAAATCATACAAACTAGAATCTCTGATAGCAATCAGTCTAATGTGCAGATATTATTATCAACTGTGGGGAATAAAAAGCCCTGCTTTTTTTTTTTCTTTTTTCCCAATACTCTTTAGGATCCATTTTTTTGCAAGTTGCCTACAGACATACAAAATTAATTCAAATATCTCCTACACCAAAGAGGATCTCATTTGACTTTGTACTATCCATAAAAATATATGCTTGAAAATCTGGTTCACAAAATATTTCATTTGTTTACTAAAATGAAATATATAAACTGTCAAAATACGTATATAAACTCAATTTCAGAATTTGTAAAGATCACAATTTAGCTACAAAATATACCAACCATCTACCTGTTTTCAATAGAATATTTTCTTACAAAGATACCATTACTTTGCAAAATATCGCCTACCTTACAAAATTAGTCCGGAAATTTTGCACTACTTTCAGCATATAAACCATATATTAGAACCTCATTAACCCTTTGGTATATATCTTCAATTTTTTCCTTTATCGTTCTTCTTCTATTTGGTTTAAATGTTCCAAAGCGCAGTAGAATCTCCAGACAGAATAAGCAATGCATGTTTAATTGTATATATAATCAGCACACAATTTACTTTTCAATTATAGACGTTTATCATGCCCAGCAGCTAAGAACAAACTATCGTGAAATCATTCTTCAGAACCTTTTGTTCACCACTACTCATTCTACCACACCGTACTTTGAAGTAATTGGATGTGTTGAATTCTCTTAAGAAAAGTCAACACCTTATTTCATGTGCCTCCGACATTTTCAGGACTAGGCCTCTCACTGCCTTCTGCAGATCCTTTCCAAATTTGATAAACACAGCAAACACTGTAAAAAACCCCAACTTTTAAAACTGTCAGCTGAGAAAGAGTAAACATAATTTATAACTCTAGCAAAGTATTAGCTTTTCTTTATCATCTGCACCTGTAAATAACAACTTACAGGTTAAAATAAAAATATTTACATACAAATAACTGAAAGAAAAAGTAAGGATTGAAAAAGAGTAAGAAATCAAAACATATACTGGTTATAAATGTTACTAGTAATGTCAACTATGGCAAGGATTCCATTTCATCCACATTTTAACTGTAACCAAATATTGCCTCCATTACAAGAGGTATTTGTAGAAATTTTCAAAGAAATTCTAATCACCTGCCTCGTAAAACGTGACTGTCCTTTTATTGTAGATGCAATCTTGACTTTATAAAGTTTCCAGTTGTGCCAGCAGGAATTTTGGTGAGGTTTTCTTGTTTCCTTTTTTGTACTTTGTCACCAACATGTTGTAAATAAAATCTATATAGTCTTTAAGTTGTGAAATCTAGGTAGAAAAGTTTCATTTTTGACCTTTCATCTAGTTTAAAAAATTCAGTATAAAAAAAAATTCTCCTCTGAAATTTAAACAGTCCACAAAAGTTTTACCTTCTTTCCTTACACACTTTTATGACAGTAAAGATCTTTCAAAGTTTTTAGCTCTTCAATTAGAGTTTTGTTCTGATTTTCCAGGACCGCAACTCGATTTTCCAGACATTTAACATACTCCTTTTTCTTTCTACGGCATTCTCGAGCAGCTTCTCTGGAACAGACAAGCAGAAGTAGTTTTTTATTTTAGGTTTGAGATGTGTCTATTTTATGAATGTTATGATTCTGACCAATATGAGAGAGCTGGCACAGCAATCATGAACAAAACAACCGGAAAAGTACACAAGGATAGGTGGAGAGCGTGAAATTTAGCAGTATCTGGTAAGACCCATGGTAGTCAATCCGCAGGGATTTTCCCCAAACCGTGTGAGACAGAACTTTCTAATATTTTTAGTCGCTGGATGCAGCATACCATACTGACGGCACAACCAGTAAAGTTAGCTCGCAAGACTCATAACTTATCCTTTGAAGATGCATTTCAGGACATTAAACTAACAAATCAAAGCAGCCCACATGCACTTACATACCTGTTCTTCATCAGTCTTATTTCTCGTTTCAACTGCGGATCATCTGTCTTACTTGTCTGTGATGTCAGAGTGACAGGCGATGTCATCACCACAGTCTGAGGAAGGGACGTGGTAGTCGGTGTGGTGCGGATCTGGTAAGTCTGCATGTCTCCTGACGCAGCTGTTGCGATAATAGCGTAAGACACCAAAACGTGGCAGCGTTAGAAAGTGACGCTCGCGGCAGCGATGGGACTTCTAACTGTTTGCAGAAGGCGTACTCACTCTGCACTACCACCTGGTTGCTGGGCACGAGTATCTGCTGACCGTCCGATGTTTGCGCGTACTGCAGTATTGTCGTCCCAGGCTGCGTGCCACCAGCGTTCGCCATCGTTAGCGTCTGCAGACCCTGCACGCCATCCGTACCCGGGCTGGCCAGCTGTAATCCGTTTGCAGCGATGGCAACTTAAAGAAAAAGGAAGACGCACAGACCTATTTGTCGCTGTGCATTATAACATACAGACAGAGGTAAATCTGTAGGCTGTTTCCACTGCTGAGAAATACTGCCAGTTTTGAAAGGCTTTTTTCGTCCCTGTTTTGCAACCAGCCGATCGTGCTGCTGGGTTCTTGCTTGGACGTGCTGGGTGTGAGAGGTGTCGGTACTGGGGGGAGCGGCAGGGGTGGCCTCTGTGCGAAGAGGTCTGGGACTGCCCCGTGCCGGACACCAGCTCCACGCGGACCCACGCTGGCGGCCCCTCTGGGGAAACGTACATACGGGCAAAAATCCAGACAGGCGAAGGAGTGTGAGTGTGGGGAAGTGAGAAACAGCAGCACGAACACCCAGCTCGGAGAACAAGGATGGAGAGGAGGGGGCTGCTTTTTGGTGTGCAAGCACAGTGAATAACGGGGTGATAAAAATTGAAGGAACAAATAGGTTTTTTTTTTGCTACCTCCCTGGCACCACAGGAACACCTTTTGGGGTGGCC